CGACAGAGTGGGCGGCGAGGCCGCAGGGGAGAGGGCGACTCGAGGGGTCGCTAAAAAAAATCGCGCCTCGGGGGCGCGCTTCGGTGGGCCCAAAAAAAATTTCGGTCCTGGAGGGACCTAGCTCTATACCATGTGAAATGAATAAGCAGGAATGAATGAACTATGAATGAAAGCAGTACAAATATGAAACCCTAACTAGGTTGTACCCCCTATGGGATACCCCACTACAGCCTACACAGCAGTATAAGCTATAGATATGTTCTGACAAGTGGTCGCGGGTCGCGTCAGCGTCCTCCTCCTGTCCCTGGCACGCACCGGATGTCACTGCGTCCGTCCACTGCTCCTCTGCGTGCCCCTTTGCCTTCTCCTCCTGCTTCCTCTCTTCCTGCTCTTGCCGACCCGGAGTCGGACTCTCTTCGTGCTGCCAGTCCTACTGTCACGCGTCTCCTTGCTACTGCTGTCACTGACCCTTCCTTCGAGTCGTCTGCTGCGTCTGCCCTTGTCACTGAGCTTGTCGACTTTGCTGCGCGCTGTCGTCTAGACTACGCTGCCAGTCTTGTCGCTGAGTCTGAGTCTGCCTGTCCTCCGTCCGTCGGGGGTGAGTGTGCCCTTGGCACGGACGTCCTTGAGGACAGGCAGGAGGAGTTCCAGTGTCTGGCCGCCGCTTCACCTCATCTCGCGTCTGTACTGCTAGCCCCTGAGGGAGACCCGGATGCACCAGACATCCCGACTCCGCGCTCTTACGCGGAGGCGATAGAGGGTCCCTACTCCTCTCAGTGGCAGACAGCCATGGGCGCAGTCCTGTGGTCCTCACTGGGCACGCAGACGCTTCTTGGGCTGACGACCAGGCTACGCAGCGGTCGTCACAGGGTTACACCTTCAGCCTTGGTTCCGGCTCTGTTTCGTGGCGGGCTACCCGCTCGTCTTCTGTTCTCGGCTCCAGTTGTGAGGCTGAGATCTACGCTGGGGCTATGGCTGCACAGGAGTTACGCTGGCTCACCTACCTGCTGACCTACCTTGGAGAGCAGCCTCGTTCTCCTCCAGTCCTGTACGTAGACAACAAGGCCATGCTGGCCTTGTGTCGAGAGCAGCGACTGGAGCACAGAACGAAGCACATTGCTCTCCGCTACTTTCTTGCTCGTGAGCTACAGCAGCGTGGACAGTTGCGACTTGCGTACGTGGCCTCTGAGGCCAACACTGCTGATGTCTTCACCAAGGCACTTGCGCCTTCTGATCATCAGCGTTGTTGTACGCAGTTGGGTCTTGTGCCTGTCTTGCCTCACTTGCTCTCCTCTTGACCTTGCTTGTACCTTCGCCTATATATACTCTTGCTCTTGCTTGCTTGACTCTTGTATATCTCTATATATGATCTTGCATGTGAAGTGGCCTTCTGGCCTTTGAACTTGTGCTCGGAATGCGTGGTGACTTTGTGATCCACCCTGAGCTTTGCTTTGCTTTGCTTGACTGGTCTTGTGACCCCTTGTTCTCCCCCACTTTGCCTATGGGGGTGTGTCAGAAGATATAGCTTACTTGTTTCTGTAGGCTATAGTGGGGTATCCCATAGGGGGTACAACACAAATTAGGGTTTCCTATTTGTACTCACTTCGTTCATAGTCATTTTCATTCTCGTTCATATCTTCTCATATTGTACCTGTCAGAACATTATAGCTTACTCTTGTCTGTAGGCTATAGTGGGGTATCCCATAGGGGGTACAACCCAGTTAGGGTTTCATATTTGTACTCACTTCATTTCATAGTTCATTCATTCTCGTTCACACTTTCTCATGGTATCAGAGCAGGTCCCTTCTTAGGGCCTGTTCCTAGGGCCCACCGAAGCGCGGCCCGAGGCGCGCATTTTTTTTAGCGACCCTCCATGTCGCCCTCCCCGTCGTGCTCCCGCTTAGGCCCCTCGTCGGCCCCGCTTAGGCCCCTCGTCTGCCCCGTGTAGCCCCCGTCGGCCCCACTTAGGCCCCGCGTCGGCCCCACCTAGACCCCGTCGGCTCCTCGTCGGCCCCGCCTAGGCCCCACGTCGGCCCCGCGTAACCCCCCGTCGGCCCCGCTTAGGCCTCGAGTCGGCCCCGCGTAGCCCCGCTTAGGCCCGTCGGCCCCGCTTAGGCCCCGCTTTGGCCCCGCGTCGGCCCCGCCTTGACCCCGTCGGCCCCGCGTTGGCCCTGCTTAGGCCCCGTCGGCCCCGCGCTGGCCCCGCTTAGGCCCCGCCGGCCCGCCTAGGCCCCACTTCGGCCCCTCGTCGGCCCCGCCCAGACCTCGTCGGCCCCGCCACGGCCCTACGCCGGCCCCGCTTCAGCTGCTGTCGGCCCCACTACAGCCCGCCACTGGCCTCGCTACACCCCGCCACTGGCCCCGCTTCAGCCCGCACTGACCCCTGCTACAGCCCGCCGCCGGCCCAGCTACAGCCCGCCGCCGGCCCAGCTACAGCCCGCCGCCGGCCTAGCTACAGCCCGCCCCCGGCCCAGCTACAGCCCGCCGCCGGCCCAGCTACAGCCCGCCGCCGGCCCTGCTACAGCCCGTCACCGGCCCCTGCTACAGCCCGCCGCCGGCCCAGCTACAGCCCGCCCCGGCCCCGCTACAGCCCGCCGTCGGCCCGCCGTCGGCCCCGCTACAGCCCTCCCCGCGGCCCCTGCTGCAGCCCGCCGTGCTGCACGTGAGCAGCCCCAGCAGCCCGCGCCGCCCGTGAGCCCCTACGCCACCCGAGCCGCGCGCGCCGCCCGAGCCGCCCGAGCCGCCCTAGCCGCCAGAGCCGCCCGAGCCGCCTGAGCCGCCCGAGCCGCCCGAGCCGCCCGAGCCGCCTGAGGAGCCGTGCTGCTGTTCCTGAGCTGTGTTCCTCTACTGCTGACCTACCCGACTCTCCCAGCCCGGTGAGCCTTTCAGCTGGTGCCATGGCCACCCCCAATGTTCTTACTTTTGACGCTGAGGGGAGGGCCATTGACTTTGCCGTCTGGATTGAAGACCTGCAGCTGTACTTACTGTGTGATGCGATAGATGAGGTCTCTCTCTTTGACTTTGTCTCTGGCGCTGTCCCTGCCCCACCTGGTGATGCTGACTCTGCCGTTCGCTCCAAGTGGGCGACCTGCGATGCTGCTGCACGTCTTGCTGTGCGTCGCCACCTCCCTTCCTCTGAGCGTGCCCACTTTAGTCAGTGCAAGACCGCTCAGGCCTTGTAAGACGCTGTAGTTGCACGCTACTCCTCCCCTTCCTCCGCTACCCTTAGCCGCCTCATGCTACCGTTTCTCTTCCCTGACCTCGCTTCCTTTCCCACTGTCGCTGACCTCGTTACCCACCTCCGTGCTAGTGACACCCGCTACCGCGCTGCCCTTCCTGCTGAGTTCCGCGCTGCGAACCCTCCTCCCATGTACATCACTCTCTACTTTCTCGTCACCCGTCTCCCTGAGTCCCTTCGTGTCGTTCGGGACCAGTTTCTCTCTGTCTGTCCCACCACTCTCACTGTCGACCTCCTTGAGGAGTCCCTGCTAGCGGCTGAGAAGAGTATTGTCGCTGTAGGGGCCTCTCGGGGTGACCCTCGCACCCCCATCTTTGAGGGGTGTGGTCCTTCCCCCCTGCTGCCCTCTGTCGCCTCTGCCGCTGCGGCCGACCTCACTGGTTTTGAGTCGGTCGGCGCGGCGTCTGCCCCCAGCGGCAGACGCCGCTCTGGCAAGGGCAAGGGGGGCAAGGGCGCGGGTGGAGCTAGAGGGGGCGGTGGAGGAGGCGGTTGGGGTGGCGGGGGGAGTGGGGGTGGCGGTGGGGGTGGTGGCGGGAGTGGAGGTACTGGTGGCGGCGGTGGAGGCGGAGGTGGCGGCGGAGGTGGTAGCGGAGGAGGCGGTGGGAGCGGTGGGAGCGACGGTCCTGGTGGGGGAGGTGGCGGTGGAGACGGGGGTGGCGGTGGAGGCGGGGGTGGCGGTGGAGGCGGGGGTCGGAGTGGCTCGTCCCAGCGGAGCAGCTCTGGGGGTGGTCAGCGCCAGCAGCACCAGCAGCAGCAGCCGCAGCAGCAGCCACAGCAGCAGCAGCGCTCTCGCACCGTCCCCGGCCCTCAGCAGCTCCGTGAGTGGTACTTGCAGCGTCAGCGTGGTGGTGCGCTTGGTCCCTGCCCCTACGTTCTTCGCACCGGTGACCGTGCAGGGGAGAGGTGTGGAGGCGCCCACACAGCTCGCCGCTGCTTTGGCCGCCTGACCGACGCCTGGCGTCAGCAGTTTCCGGAGGCCGCTGAGATCCCCCGCTGGGGAGAGCTGTCTAGGGCTGGTGTAGCTATTTATGATCTTGATTTTGATGCTATTCTCTCTGCTATGTATGCTGTGACTGGTAGTGATGAGGATGACTGTTACCGGTGTTTCCCGCCCGACCCGGGCATTGGTATTGCCGCGTCAGGTACTAGTGAGGCTGCTGCTCTAGGTGCCAGTGCGTCTGTGCTCTCAGGTGCTGGTGAGTCTGCCCTCTCAGGTACTGTGTCCGCTTCGGCCTCTCACACCTTCACCCTTGACTCTGGAGCGTCTCGCTCCTTCTTTAGGTACCGCACCACTCTCACGCCGCTGAGTCGGCCGGTTGCGGTGTCCCTGGCTGACCCCTCTGGGGGGCCTGTCCTGTCTCGCTTCTCCACTGTCCTCCCGTGTCCGGCGGCCCCCTCTGGCACCCTGACTGGTCTCTACCTCCCCTCGTTCTCGACGAACTTGGTGAGTGGTGCTGACCTCCAGGATGCGGGTGTCCACCAGTTCACCCCTGCTCGTCAGCGGGTGACCCACTGCACGGAGGCGGATACAGGTCGCCACCTGGCTACGTTTACACGTCGGCCAGGGTCGAGCCTGTACACACTGACCACTGCTTCTCCTCCAGGTGCTACGTCTGGTAGGGTCCCTTCGTCTGGTCAGGTGTTTGCTGCAGCGTCCAGGTCTGGTCCTGAGTCTGCCCCCTGCTCGTGTCGTCGTCTGTCTCACGAGACCCTCCTCTGGCACCACCGCCTTGGCCACCCCTCTCTGCTTCGGCTCAGAGGCATGGCCTCGCGAGTCCTTGTGTCTGGTCTTCCCCGGTCCCTCCCTCCCCTTCCTCCGGGCCCTGGCCCTACCTGTGTCCCCTGTGTCGAGGGGCGCCAGCGTGCTGTCCCTCACTCCTCCCAGTTTCCTCCGACAGAGGCCCCGTTGCAGACGCTTCACATGGACGTGTGGGGCCCAGCCCGCGTCCGTGGACAGGGTCAGGAGCGCTACTTCCTGCTGGTTGTTGACGACTACTCGCGTTACACCACAGTCTTCCCCTTGCGCAGCAAGGGTGAGGTCACTGAGGTGTTGATCGACTGGATCCGCGCAGCTCGTCTCCAGCTTCGGAGGAGCTTTGGCTCTGACTTCCTTGTTTTGCGGCTGCACTCGGACAGAGGTGGAGAGTTCTCCTCTGGCCTACTGAGTGCCTACTGTCGTGCGCGAGGCATCCGTCAGACCTTCACGCTTCCGGACTCACCACAGCAGAATGGGATTGCTGAGCGCCGCATTGGCATGGTCATGGACGTCGCTCGTACGTCCATGATGCATGCGGCTGCTCCCCATTTTCTGTGGCCGTTTGCGGTCAGGTACGCTGCGCACCAGATCAACCTCCACCCCAGGGTCTCTCGACCGGAGACCTCCCCAGCCCTGCTGTGGACGGGGAAGGTTGGCGATGCGTCGGCGTTCCGGGTCTGGGGATCTCGGGCGTTTGTTCGCGACCTGTCTGCGGACAAGCTGTCCCCTCGTGCTTCTCCCTGCGTCTTCCTGGGGTTCCCCCCCGACGCCCCTGGGTGGCAGTTTTACCACCCCACCTCTCGACGTGTTCTGTCCTCCCAGGACGTCACGTTCGACGAGTCGGTACCCTACTACCGCCTCTTCCCCTACCGCACTCCGTCCCTCCCCCCACCCCCACTCTTCTTGGTACCAGGTCCCCCCCCGGTAGTCCCCCTCCCCCCTCAGGGTCCTGCCCCTTCAGGTGTGTCCCAGGTAGACGCGGTCGAGCCTGTCGAGGTCACTGGTGACTCTGGTGCTGCTGCGGGAGCTGAACCTGGGGGTGCGGAGTCTGGGGGTGCTGAGCCTGGGGGTGCTGAGCCTGGGGGTGCTGTGCCTGGGGGTGCTGTGCCTAGGGGTGCTGAGCCTAGGGGTGCTGAGCCTGGGGGTGCTTCGTCTCGCCGAGAGCCACTCTCCCCACAGGAGCTGCGTGAGTGGTTTGCCAGGCGCTGGAGGCGTGCTGCTGGTGCTGGTGGTTCTTCGGCTGCAGAGGGTACTGCTGCCGCGCGTCCCGCCGGTGCTCGTACTGTGGGTGCTGGAGCTGCTGGGTCTGAGAGTTCTCCTGGAGCTGGTACTGCTGAGGGTGTTGGCGCTGAGCCTGCCGTTGGCGGTCCGACTGACAGTGCTCCTGGTGCTGCTGCTGGAGGTTCTGGAGCTTCTGGTGGTGCTGCTGGAGTGTGTGCTCCTGCCGGGGCTGCTGGTGCTGTTCCTGCTGTTTCTAGCGTCGCCGCTCGGCCCCGACCGTACTTCGCTCCGCTCCTGCAGCAGGTTCTTGGTCTTACACCTCCTCCTCCTCCCTTAGAGGGTCCACAGCCTGTCCGGTCACAGCCACAGCTACAGCCTGCCTCCCCTTTGCCTACTCCTTCTCCGTACGCTGGTCCGACTGGAGGTCTTACTGAGCGTCGTGAGCCTGCGTCTCGTCCTGTGTCGCCTGTTCGTACTGAGCGCGCTGGTGGTCGCGGGTCGCGTCAGCGTCCTCCTCCTGTCCCTGGCACGCACCGGATGTCACTGCGTCCGTCCACTGCTCCTCTGCGTGCCCCTTTGCCTTCTCCTCCTGCTTCCTCTCTTCCTGCTCTTGCCGACCCGGAGTCGGACTCTCTTCGTGCTGCCAGTCCTACTGTCACGCGTCTCCTTGCTACTGCTGTCACTGACCCTTCCTTCGAGTCGTCTGCTGCGTCTGCCCTTGTCACTGAGCTTGTCGACTTTGCTGCGCGCTGTCGTCTAGACTACGCTGCTCGTCTTGTCACTGAGTCTGAGTCCGCCTGTCCTCCGTCCGTCGGGGGTGAGTGTGCCCTTGGCACGGACGTCCTTGAGGACAGGCAGGAGGAGTTCCAGTGTCTGGCCGCCGCTTCACCTCGTCTCGCGTCTGTACTGCTAGCCCCTGAGGGAGACCCGGATGCACCAGACATCCCGACTCCGCGCTCTTACGCGGAGGCGATAGAGGGTCCCTACTCCTCTCAGTGGCAGGCAGCTATGGATGCAGAGATGGCTTCCTGGAAGTCCACAGGCACCTACGTTGACGCTGTTCCCCCTCCCGGGGCGAACATCGTCAGTGGCATGTGGATTTTCAGGGTGAAACGGCCGCCGGGTTCTCCGCCTGTCTTCAAGGCGCGTTTCGTGGCTCGTGGCTTCAGTCAGCGGCAGGGAGTTGACTACTTTCAGACCTTCTCCCCCACCCCGAAGATGACCACTCTTCGGGTTCTGCTGCACGTTGCTGCTCACCGTGACTACGAGCTGCACTCTCTCGACTTCAGCACAGCTTTCTTGCAGGGCAGCCTGCACGAGGAGATCTGGCTGCGTCGCCCACGTGGCTTCACTGGGTCTTTCCCTCCTGGTACCCAGTGGAGTCTCCGGCGTCCAGTCTACGGTCTCCGCCAGGCGCCACGTGAGTGGCACGACACACTGAGGACTACGCTCGCGGCACTTGGGTTTGCTCCTTCTACTGCCGACCCGTCGCTGTTTCTACGCACCGACACCTCTCTGCCGCCGTTCTACATCCTCGTGTACGTCGACGACTTGGTCTTTGCCACAGCTGACACTGCTGGACTCGCCTACGTGAAGTCCGAGCTGCAGAAGAGACACACGTGCACTGACCTGGGTGAACTGCGCAGCTACCTTGGCTTGCAGATCACCCGGGACAGAGCACGCCGCACCATTACCCTGACTCAGTCACACATGGTGCAGCAGGTCCTTCAGCGCTTCGGCTTCACGTACTCCTCGCCTCAGGCCACTCCTCTGCCTACTCGCCACTCGCTCTCAGCTCTGCCTTCGGATGAGTCCGTAGAGTCGAGTGGCCCGTTTGCAGAGCTTGTTGGCTGCCTCATGTACCTGATGACCTGCACACGACCTGACCTCGCATACCCTCTTAGCATTCTCGCACGCTTTGTTGCTCCTGGGAGACACCGACCAGAGCACATGGCTGCAGCGAAGAGGGTGTTGCGCTACTTGTGCAGTACGTCGGGCATGGGGCTAGTGCTTGGAGGGCGCAGTCCAGTGGTCCTCACTGGGCACGCAGACGCTTCTTGGGCTGACGACCAGGCTACGCAGCGGTCGTCACAGGGTTACACCTTCAGCCTTGGTTCCGGCTCTGTCTCGTGGCGGGCTACCCGCTCGTCTTCTGTTCTCGGCTCCAGTTGTGAGGCTGAGATCTACGCTGGGGCTATGGCTGCACAGGAGTTACGCTGGCTCACCTACCTGCTGACCGACCTTGGAGAGCAGCCTCGTTCTCCTCCAGTCCTGTACGTAGACAACAAGGCCATGCTGGCCTTGTGTCGAGAGCAGCGACTGGAGCACAGAACGAAGCACATTGCTCTCCGCTACTTTCTTGCTCGTGAGCTACAGCAGCGTGGACAGTTGCGACTTGCGTACGTGGCCTCTGAGGCCAACACTGCTGATGTCTTCACCAAGGCACTTGCGCCTTGTGATCATCAGCGTTGTTGCACGCAGTTGGGTCTTGTGCCTGTCTTGCCTCACTTGCTCTCCTCTTGACCTTGCTTGTACCTTCGCCTATATATACTCTTGCTCTTGCTTGCTTGACTCTTGTATATCTCTATATATGATCTTGCATGTGAACTGGCCTTCTGGCCTTTGAACTTGTGCTCGGAATGCGTGGTGACTTTGTGATCCACCCTGAGCTTTGCTTTGCTTTGCTTGACTGGTCTTGTGACCCCTTGTTCTCCCCCACTTTGCCTATGGGGGTGTGTGAAAACATTATAGCTTACTCTTGTCTGTAGGCTATAGTGGGGTATCCCATAGGGGGTACAACCCAGTTAGGGTTTCATATTTGTACTCACTTCATTTCATAGTTCATTCATTCTCGTTCACACTTTCTCAGTACCCACGAAATCTAAACAGATATAGTATATGTCAGAATCCCAACCACTAGACCATTGGGATAAAAGGGCTTGTTTCAGTAGCGGGTCAGTGCGCCCATATCCCCCCAGGCTAACGTGTCTGTAACCCCCCTAGGATCATTCGGGGATCTCATAGTGCAGCTCTACTAACACCCCCCTACAATGGGAGGCTCAGGACTGAGCACAGCGGCAACGGCCTACTGCTGCACGTCGTCATCTTCGTCGCCCATGTCAGCCAAGCGCAGCTGGCCGATGGCGACGGAGCACCGGTTGAAGGCCGGATAGTGCAGTGCCTTTGTCAGGAAGTCGGCCGGCTGCTCAACGGTCGGGATGTACCTCAGCGAGAACTTCCCACGCTTCACCATGTGCTGCAGCTAGGCCTGTCGCCGCTCCATGTGCTTGAGGTTGCCCGTCAACCCCATGCCCTCGCCGACTGTAATGGCCGACTTGTTGTCCACCCAGAGGACGGTCGGCTTCCCGGCATCCAGCTGCCGGAACTTTGGAAGGAGGAAGCGAAGTCGACGTCCCTCCTTGCCGGCTTCGGTTGCCGCCACGTACTCCGACTCAGTCGACGACAACGTCGCGCACTTGATGTGCTGGCTCGACCAGGAGACTGCGGCCCCTCCGTAGACGAACACGTAGCCGCCCGTGCTCATCCTGTGCTGCTTGTCACCGGCGTCGTCGGCGTTTACGTAGCCGATCAGCTCCTGCGACTCAAGTCCACCGCTGAACTCGAGAGCGGTGTCACGCGTGTTGGCGAGGTAGGCGAGGCAGCGGTCGACCTCGCGCCAATGCTGATCGCTCCTCACCGTGAGGCCGCTCCCCAGCTTGCTGCGAGCAAAGGCGATGTCCGGCCTCGTCGTTGTCGCCGCGAAGTGCAGCGAGTCGACATTCAGCCGGTACTCCTCCTCCTGTCGCTCCTGTGCCTCCTCGTTGTCGAAGGTGAGCTCGGCGTAGGCGTTGACAGAGACCGGCGTCTTCGGGGTGCGCCCGGTCAGCTCCTCGTCGATGAAGCGCCTACGCAGCTTGTCGGCGTAGCCCTGCTGATGCAGCCACAGCTTCCCCGCCGACCTATCGCGGACGATCTCCAGCCCGAGGTACTTCTGCACCGGCGAGATCTCACGCAGTTCGAAGGCGGACTTCAGCAGCTCCTTCAGCTCCTTCAGCATCTCAGTGCTGCTGCTGGCGGCGAGCAAGTCGTCGACGTAGACCAACACCCAGCAGGCCACTCCGTCGTCGCCGACCTTGAAGTACAGAGCCTCGTTGACCTGGCTCTTCTTCCTCCCACGGCGTCGACCAGCACGTCGTTGAGCGCCAAGCACCACAGCAGCGGCGACTGCTTCAGCCCGTACAAGCTCTTCAGCAGCTTGCACACCCGGTCGGTTCCGTCGTTGAAGTAGTCCGGCTGGGATATGTAGAGCACCCGGTCGAGCTTGCTCTTCAGGAAGGCGTTCTTCATGTCGATCTGCATCAGGTTGAGGTTGAGGACGGCAACGATGCTGAGGAAGATCCTCAGACTGGTGTAGCTGCCCACCGGCGCGAACGTCTTGACGTAGTCGGCGCCATGAACCTGGGTGAAGCCCTTCGTGACCAGCCTCGCCTTCTCACGCTCGACGGTGTCGTCGACGTGGTACTTCGTCGTCAACACCCACCGGTTCTTCATGATGTTCACTCTCGGTGGGCGTTCGACCAGCTCCCAGGTACCCATGTTGATGAGGCTGCAGATCTCCTCCTCCATGGCGGCCTTCACCGCCGGGCCCTTCCAGCTTGCCAACGCCTCCTTCACCGTCATCGTCGAGATGTCCCAACGGTGCTCGGGGTCGGCATGCATGTCGAGGTCGAGCTCCGGAAACTCCTCATCCTCCTCGGAGTCGTCATACGCCAGGTCGTCGTCGTCCACGTCGTACACCGTGATGAAGGCAGCAGGGACGAAGAAGTCGGGTGGCCTCCGAAGTCGGCCTGACTTACGGGGTTCAGGCGGAACCTCCACCACGTCACTCTTGGTGGACTCCTCGGCGTCCTCCTCCCCCTCATCGTCCTCCTGCAGCTCAGTCGACTTCCTGGCCGACTTCTCCCCTGTGGTCGGCTCCCCTACTGACTGCCTGGTAGCCGACTGCTCCGTGGTCGGCTTCACTGCTGCCTGCTCCCCTGTCGGCTGCTTCTCCTCGACTTGCTTCTCCCCCATCAACATTGGCTTCACTCCCACGTCGACTTGCCGCTCGTCACGTCGGCCACCGGCGATGCCCTTGGTCGGCGCCGAAGGCGACGTCCCACTACTCCCCTCATCGCCAGAGGCCGACTCCGAGGCCAGCCCGCGCAGGTCGGCCAGGAGGGGAGGGGCAGGAGAGGGAGGGGAAGGGGAAGGAGGACAGACGACCTCGGCGTCCTCAGCAGCAGGCTCACCGACCTCGGCGAGCAGAGGCAGCGTCGCCGGTGAGGTATCGGTCGGCGGGGTGGTTGGCGTCCGACTGGACACCGGCCCGTGCTCCGACTTCCACACCTCTAGCGACATATCCTCGCAGAACACCACGTCCGACGTGGTGACCACCCGGTTGGCGTCGATGTCGAGGAGCTCCCAGCCCTTGCTCGCCTCCGACACACCGAGGTGCAAGCCCCACCTGGACTTCGGCATCAGCTTCCCACCACGCACCTGCTCGGGGACGAGGAACTGCGCCATGCAGCCCCACACCCGCGCCAGCGACAAGTCGGGCTTCTTTCTGGTCAGCAGCTGGTACGGCGTTGTTCCCGTCAGCAGCGTCGACCTCTCAAGGCAGTTGCGGACCCAGACGGCATGCCGCAGGGTGACGTGCCACCAGTGGTGCTGCACAGCCATGTGCAGCAGCATCGTCCGCACCGACTCGACCACCGTCCTCATCTCTCGCTCCGCCATGCCGTTCTGCTGCGGGGTGTACGGGCAGGTAAAGTGGTGGACGATCCCCTTGCCGTCCACGAAGTCAGTGAACTTCTTCCCGAGGAACTCCCCTCCTCGGTCGGAGCGAAGCATCAACACCGACTTCGTCATTTGCCTCTCCACCAACACCAGCCACTTCTGGAACTCCAGCAGCACATCAGACTTCTTGGCGACCGGCCTCACCCACACGAAGCGGGTCTTGCGGTCCTTGAGCAGCAAGAAGTACAAGCTGCCGTCCTTGGCAGTCACGCGGAACGGCCCGCACAGGTCGATACGCACGACGGCCAGCACGTCGTCAGCGTCGGAGCCTTGGTTGGGGAAGGTGTGCCGTGCCAACTTCCCGCCGACACACGAGACACACGGTGAGTCGGTCCCCGTCGTCGACTTGAGGTCCAGCCCAATGGCGACCTTGTTCTTTGCAGCATCCCGTCGCCATCCTCCTGCAGCTTCACGCTGTGCTCTTTCAGCTGGCCGGCCGACAGCAGGTTAGCCCGCGCACCCGGGACGTACAGCACGTCGGGGATGAGCACCTGCTTCCCGGCCTCCCCTTGCCGGGCGACGGTGCCGCGGCCCTGGACGTCCTGCAGTGCCCCATTGAAGCTGCGCACGTGCTTGATGGGGCCGC